GGTTTTAAAGGGCTGCTGTGGCCAACCTAGGGAAGAAATGGAGGAAATTGACTGCAGTGTCAAGGCAGTGATGGCCCGCCCTGTGGGTGAGGCCTGGCTGACAGGTTGGAGGACAGGCAGGCCCTGCCTCCGGGTTGTCATAGAAACCCCACTGGGTCCTGGTGCTGAGGCTCTCTGGTCCCCTCCCAGGCTGGCCTCCCTTAGTCCTCACATGCTTCCCCCACAAGACATACCCTGTGCAGCTTAGACAGGGTACCCAGCCAAAGGTCCCACCTTTCATTCGTATCCCTGTTTTTGCCAAGAAGTGGTTACCATGGGAATGTCCTTGGGACAGGGTGGAGAGTGGGGAGGGCAGCAGCAGGGAGGGGAGTCCTTCCTGCAGAGACACTTCCCAATTCAACAGGCCCCTGGAGCAGGTGTGGCATTGGCATTGGTGTGGGTGCATGTGGGGAGGGGTCTTGGAGGTGCCAGCTCCACATCTTACTTCCCCTGGGTCCCCTCCCATGATCACCCTCAGAGAACGCCTCCTGCCACAAAGGCCAAGACTCAGGGCATGGAGGTGAATTGGGGTTTCATTTCCTGGGAAATAGTTTCTGGGACAGTGAGAGGGGGTTGCCTAGAGGTCTGGACTAAGACTAATTCAGAGGCTTCTATGATTATGAGTTTCCTGAAACCAGTGATGTCCAGCTGGTGCCGGTGGGGAGGGCCATGCAAATTAATGAGTTAGACCCAATTAATCTGGCTGCGTTAGCAAATCCATAGGGGAAGCCAAATGAGGTTGCACAGATGTGTGTGAGTGCGCGCTCCGGCAGGCCTCTGTGTCCTTGGGAGCCTGCTGGCCTTGCTGGGCTCTTGGGCTGAACTCACCTGTGGGAATGGCCAGGAGAGCCACTGTCTTGACTGCTTGAACCAAAGTGAAGGGAAACAGAGGACAGAGCTTACAGCCTATGGGCTGCCAAGGGTTTCTCCCTGTGCAGACTCTAGCCCCAGGGGCAATTCTAGCACCCATCAGGCCAGGGGTGGGGCCCGGCCTGACCTCTGCCTGAATCCTTGGGCCAAATCAGCTCTAAGCCTGAGGTTCCCTGCATCAGAGCTACCTGGAGGTGGTTGTCATAAATGACAGGTTTGGGGGCCATAGCCCAGGCCGAATAGTCTGTGAGGGTGAGGGGCCAGAACCTGGTACCCAGGGCTAGGTTCTTGTGTGCCCCTTCCTCCAGGAAGCCTTCGCAGATTGGTCCCACTCATCATGCACCCATCTCTCCCCTGGTTCCAGCCTAACACTCATGGGAGCACCAGACGTCAGCAGGCCCTGTGGGGTGAGCCTAAATGCAGAGGCGTGAGAAAGCATCCTCACCTTGAAAGGCATGCGTGCCACAGGATGACTGCACAAGGCATATGTCAATTTATCAGCCAGTGACAAACCCTGCTGTGCCTCCCCTTTCTAGATTTGCAGTCTGGTGTAATGGCCTCCGCTTCAGAGGCATTCTGACATGGCTGGAGGGGACCCCACCTGGAGCACGGTTGGCTCTTCCACTAATGAAAGACCATGGAATAGGCTCTGCAAACAGTCGCACCAGGCACAATGCATTCGGCCTGCTCTGGGACAGTGTTGAGCAGGGGACTTCTGACAAGACAAGACCGGAGAACAGAGTGCTGAACACTTTCTCCCATGCAGGAGCCATTAGCACTCACCACCCTCTCTGGGAGTGTGGCTCTGGCAGGTTCCAATCCTGGTGTGGCCCTGCCCTGGGGAGGAGGTGATCTTTGCCTACTCTGTGGGGGGTGTGGTCTGGGGCCCTGCTCCCCTTGCAGCCAATGGGGGCCTGTTCACCAGCTCCTGGTTCAGTCCAACTCTCCGAGCAGCTTGTAGAACATTCTGGTTCTTAGCACAGAGATGGCTCATGATGGGGCATAAAAATGCCAAAAGAGCCCTGGCCAGTGTTGCTCAGTGGTTAGAGGATGTGCCCTCACATCACAGGGTCACGGGTTCAATTCCTGATCACAGGCACCTATGACCAGGCACTCATCAGGGCGAGTTCAGGATGTGTCTCTCTCATGCCGATGTTTCTTTCTCTCCCCCTCCCTCATTTCCTCACTCTCTAAAAATCAATGGAAAAAATATTCTTGGGTGAAGATTAACAAGAACAAAAAAGGCAAAAGAATCCAAGGTCTAGCACTGCCTGGGAGGCTTGGGGGGTTGAGGAGGAATAGGGGGTGAGAGGGGGTCTTGTTGGAGGGACTTTGGCTTGCCTTGGGATATTGGACAGAGACCAGGTTCAGGGTCTGTGGGATAATCCAGAGGAGGGCGATTTGTAGGGGCTGGGTGATCCAGGAAGTTTCCCAGAGGCCAGGCTCCTTTGGCTCCAAGGAAGGACAGACCATGGGGTGCCACCAAGACATCGTCTCATTAGGGGCACAAGCCAGCCCTGAGACATGCTATGCCTGTGGTTGGAAGGAAGCCAGGGTGCAGGCCCTGAAGACAGGTGGCCTGGGTTGGAATCTTGCTGCTGGCTGTGTGTCCTTGGGCACATGGCCTAACCTCTCTGTGCATCCATTTCCAGTTCGTTTCCTATTTAGGTATGCAAGGATAAGCAAACAGCCCACTTCCCAGGAGTGTTGTAGGAGCCCAATAAGTCCACCTGTCTCAATGGCAAGGGCCAGCCTCTGGGAAGCCCGCAGATAGTGAAGGACAGTCCTGCTGAGACTGCATACCCAGGGCCCAGCACTTGAACCTGCCCAGAGCTGGCAGTTCCCGTGAGATGAGTGGGGAGAGGGGGAGAGCGCAGGGGCAGAGGCTGTGGCTGTTGGGAGCTGCCACTCTGGGACCCAAGCCCTTTACTCACAGAGCACCTGCATCTGGGTGGGGGAGACCAAAGAGGGGCCTCTGACAGACATTCTGCCCCTTCAGGGGCCGGGGCCTCGTGGGGGGAGCATGGAGGCATCTTCAGCCTCTCCCTCCTCTGCCCCCAACCAGGACTCCAAGTCTCCATGTGGGGTTCTCAGTCCCCTGCAGAGCCCCAGGCGTGGGGATGGGGAGGTGGGGGAGGAGACACAGGTGCAGGGATGGCAGCGGGTCTCGAGTTTCTGCGGAGTGCGCCCTCTCCACGCTGCAGACTGGTTCCAAGACACAAAATGGTCCCTCCTGGCCCCTCCTCCAGGCACCTGCTGCTCCACCCACAGCCACCTTGACCTGCTTGAGGGCTGAGCCCCTGTCCAGGCACCCAGTGCTCGGCAGCACCCCTGGCATCTCGGTTCTGGTCTCTAGTGTTGAAGACCAGTCTGCGGGTGCAAAGTGTGTGTTCTCCTGGCACCTGGGCCCGAATCCCACCGGGGGCCTCCCCAGGGCCACTGCTCACAGCGCGTTTGGTGGGTGCTGCCCTCACCCCCCACAGTCCACCGCTCAAAGGCTGTGCAGAGGTGGGGCCGGGAGTCCCTCCCCTCCCAGGCGGGACCCGTAGGTTGCAAGACCTGGCTTTGTGGGGGCAGTTCCCTCTTCCCAGAAAGGCAGGCCGTGGGGCTTAGGCCCCCACTGGATGCTCCACTGGGACAGGTTCTTTCTTTAATACCTCGCCGGGCAAATGACGAGGGACATGTGATTTTCAAACTGCAAAGCCGTCCTGGAGGTGATGGAGTTAACCAGATGAGAGCCAGCGTTCCTTCTGGTGCCCGGAGCCCCGGGGTGCGTGTGTGCCCTCAAGGCAGGCCGCGAGGAGCGGGACTGGAGACGGGGACTAGGGTGGGGGGCAGTGCCTCGTGGTCCGGAATCAGGCCGGTTTTGCGCAGTGACCACTACCCCCACCCGGGGCTAGGGCATTTCACCAGCCCCAGGAGGACAGGGGAAACTTTACCTCGGAGCAAGCCAAGCTCAGCCTCCTCCCCTTCCATCCTGGCCCTCCCTGCCTCTCCCTCCCTCTCC